AATGACTAAATAATGACCTCATGCTTCCACGTGTAAATCGGTTAATTATCACATATTGCACGTTATATTTATTCAATAAGTGATTTATACGAAGTCTTAAATTAAAAAAGTACTTGTGTCACTTATAGGCATATAAAAAGTTTTTCTTTCTTGATGAAATTTTTTTTCATGATAAAATTTTTCTCGATAAAAAATATTATTTTTACTGTTCAAAAAAATAATCTTTTTTCTGGATGAAAAATATTGTTTATAATGTTTAAACGAAGTTTTTCTCTCTGGACTAAAAATATTATTTTTAGTTTTCAAAAAATAAAATTAAAAGTTAGGAAGCATGAAAAATAAAAGGTACTATCTTCTTATGAATTAAAAAGATTGTTTTGATACGAGAATAATAGTTCACATTTAGATCAACTGTTCGAGGAAAGTGCATCGTAAGTACCCATGTTCAAATCTACTTCTCCGCATATGTTCGATAGGTTTCGACGACTCGAAATTTATATTCGATAGGTTTGGACAGCTCGAAATTGAGACATCTATCGGATAAAAATTCTTTTTTTCGATGAAATTCCGATCCATCGGAAGCGATTATTCGAGTGGTTGAAAACCGCTAGTAAAAACAACCTATCGCCGAGCCCTCGACCCATTGGAAAATGGCAATCCCAGGCGTCGATTTGCAATTTCGATGCCCAACAGAAACCAAAATCGGAGCGTCGAAATACCTATCGGATGGCCGGTTGGGTATCCAATGGTATATAACTTGACTTTCAAATAACGAAAATATCCTTTCATATACTATCATTTTTAATCTATCACTCACCAGTCATACAAATCATATATGGACCAATATTAAAGTATAAGAAAAGTTTGACACAGAGACCTGAAACTTTTAGGAATCAATCATAATTCCAGTCTCTACAAATACTGGAAGTTTCATGTCAAACGATCATTTCTTTCCTTGTTAAATAGGGTGTGGGTGTGGGTGTGGGTTGGTAGGAAAAGGAAACAGACCCACACCCACACCCATACCCACACCCCACACCCACACCCACACCCACACCCACACCCATACCCACACCCCACCCACCCATACCCTTTGATAGTTAGCAGAAGCATGGAATCGAAGTTTTCGTAACATGTATCGTTGTGCTATCTGGAACTTGAGGTCTACCCATCGGAATTTCAAATCGACCCTCGGATTGCCATTTTCCGATGGGTTGAGGGCTCGGCGATGGGTATTTTAGAAGGCATCGACAGCGAAAAACCGAGGCGTCGAAATACTCCTCGAAAGACTAGTTGGGAAGTGTCGGCAAAATAAACAAACATGTTGTGCCAAGACTTTTAGACATAGGTTACTCGTGTAGCAACCTTAAATAACAGAATGACGATCAGTTATACCCTATACAAAATAAACTCATGATTTCATTCTTTCGATCGACTAAAAACTAAATACTAAATATGTAATGGAGAAATACAAGGGAGGAGAAAGACTTTTGGTTACTGGTGTGTGTTTGTCGTAACTATGAGAGAATTGCAAACCATTTGTACAATTCGACTTCAACTTTTTCTGAAAATTTCATTTTCCACTGGAATGATTCTGTGTATTAGGCTAGATAGTACTACTCAAGAAATAAATGAGACTGGCATTTGTCTCACTACCACTATCAAGGATAACTGAAATTCAAAAAAATTGGTATTTTTATGCTGATTTTTGATATTTATATAGTCATCATATATGTACCATAAGAAGTCTCAAACGATTCTTTTGGAGATGTTGATCGAGGATAAGCTTAAGTGAAACTACAAGCTATTCGAAGCTAATAAGAGAATTATACTTTAAATGACTTTCATAGCAAATCTTTCATTTTTAGGGTTCATTTTTTCGAAAAAAGATTTCTGTAAGAGCAGAATTCTGCACGGCTATATTATGTATTTCTATTTTTACCTAAGTAAACTCGCTTTTTTCGCTCGAAAGGGTTTTAATACATCTAGTAAGATCACTCTTTTAAAGAGCTTTCGATTCATGTAAGATACATCTAGGTTTTTTCCTGTTTTGGTCGAAAAATATTAGTTTTACTGTCAAAAAAGCGTGACGAGACATTTAGCGAGGAAGACTTCCGTTTGAGGACTGATTTTTTAAATTTTTTTTTTCTAATAAAAAGTATTATAGATTTCTTTCAAATTGTATCTTATTTCTTTTTTCTCAATATGTTGTACAAAATAGAATGCACATTCAAGTGGCTGTAACCAAACGAGAAGATCACCCACGCGAGCAAACAATCCCAATGGATGTCGACGCTTGTTTGCTACATGAGCGCATGTGAAAGAAAGTGTAATGGCATACACAATAGCATTAAGAAGATGAAGACCAACGGAGAAACCAACCGTGCAAAATTGTGCTGAATTCATTGAGTCGATAATCGATTGAAGTTGAGGACGATGCATTGCATATTCGATGGAACTATAGGTATCATTGGCAGGAAGAATCCGATCCATCACCGACTAAGTCGTAAGGGCAATAATACAAATACAAAATGGAGGTAAAATCTTCCAGACAACATGTGTTTGAAGAAATGAACAAAGAGGATGAGGTGAAATAAATTTTAACATGTTGAATATAATTTCTTACAGCTTTTCTGCTCTCGTTTTTGATAGCAATAAAAAATTATGTGTATAGAAGAAAAAAAAAACGTAAATATTTTATTTTCATACTGATCAACGGTACACGATTGCCAGTTGTAGAATTATGCAACTTGTGTCAATTTAAAAAAACTTTTTATACAAACCAAGTCACACACTTTTCTAGAATGTTGTATAATTGTAACATTCGATTGTATTATCAGTTTGTCTCTTTTCCAGATGGCAAACAATCACGTTCGAATTTCAAAGTCTTCTTTTTTTAAAAAAGCAATCATTCTCCACTGTTGTTCTATATAGTCATATTCGAAAGGCCTCATTTATTGTGTTACTTTTTTGAAGAAAATCAAATCATTTCTGATCAACAAAAAGAGTGAATCGTTTGTCAAACAAAAAAAAAACCTTTGCACTTCCATGATGATGAATTGTCTTCCAATAACATATCGTCAACGTCATTTTCATTCTAGCAATGTATAAACAAGACTGTTACCAAGGCAAAAATGTATGGAGACAATTGCTGCATCGGTTAAGAGTCATGACGTTTTATTAGCAACTACCGTTGTGAGAAGATTAGATTGTCTAATGAGTTAACAGAACTTGAATTTCCATTAAGACAACTCACTTGAAAGCGTTCTTGTCAAATGCGATCATTGGTCGAATTGACAGAGAGATCGCTTCTTCATGCACTGCAAATAGTAAAACGATTTCTATGGTATCATTTGTCAGAATGTATCACAAATAAAAAAAAATTATCTTGACTATATTCTAGACATGAGCGGGATGGATCCAAATCCGGTCCCAATGAAACTAAAAAATCCTTTTTCGAGACTAGAATTGGATGAGAGGGGAAAAAGTTGACTTCATGACCAAAGTCTCTGCTATTTTTTCCTCGATAAAAGCTATAAAGAATTGAGATATTCTTGAAAATGAAGACTGAATATCACATCTAATATTAAAAGAAAGTTTTTTCCTCTCACTAATTTAGGTTTTCTGATCAATATTGTACTTATATCATAGCTTTTTGGTTCTAAGAATAATTGAAATTTAATTTCGATTTGTTTTCGCTCATATTCCTCTTTTAAAAATTTAATAGAATCTAAAACAAACATATGAAATATTTATGTATATGTCAACAAATATTAATTAGTTTGATCATTCTTTGTTATTGAAAAAGAAAAAGTTGAATATATTGCGAAAAATGTACGATTATAAACTCTTTTACTATCATTAAGTTGAATTAGAACAAAAACAAAATCTTATTTAACACAAACTCGTATAGAAAAGAATAACTAAATTATTTCCATTCCAAATAGATATTATCAATGACATGTTGCCTTATATAATCTAATAATAGTTTTTCAGAATTAATCATTTTATCTAAATTCTCCATCATTTTATCATCTGCTACTGGAGTAGGAAAAGATAAAAAAAATCGAAGTTGACAGTTACATTTAATTTTCATTAAAATAAGTCGTACAAATAATTTCATATCCATATTATTTATAAAATTCACTTTGAGATATATTATACGAAGACAAAGTTCAATAAGAAAATAAATTTCTTCAATATGATTCATCTAGAATTTTTCTAAATCAAGCAAATATTCTTAAAAAATGATTTGTACTCATTGTCTAACATCGAGCTATTATCTATCATCATATGCAGTATGAACATATAAAACTTTTTATTTTGAATGTATTTCAATTAAAGTTTTGATTACTATCCAACTCATATATATAAACTTCAGACGAGAAAGTTGTGGTGTGTAAGAATTCATAGCAGAAATGTCGTTGAAAGTACAAAAATCATTTAACGATACTGAATTGTTTGATGATGCGGTGAAATAGTTATTCTAGCATGCTCATATTTTTGTGTTGAGAATTTAACATATCTCAATTTGGATAAATTGAACGAATCCTTCTTGAATATATTCTATGTTCATAGTTAAGTTAATGAAAACAAGCGAGATAAATAAGTTAAATTGTTAAGAACTGAATGAAATATTTTAGATTTAATTTCAGTAAGAATATATGATTCGAAACGATTAAATAATAAATCAATGGCAAATGACGAGATAAATCAACTGAGAATATTTTTCCGTATCGATAAATGAAATAAGAATATATTTTTTTCTATTAAATAGAATAAATTCTTTATTATTATTCATAAGTATTTCTTTTGATACTGAATAAATAAGTTTACAAAAAGAAATGAAAAGTTGAGAAGTTGTTGAAAACGATAAATAAGAATTCATTAAACAAATTTTTAATAGAAGTTATTCATCTATCAAATGAATAATTTACTTCGTAATTTCTTTATTTATCGTTCCGACGATTTATCAATAGTTGATTTTCATTTAATTTTATTCATATATTGGTAATAATCCTTTTTTCCCATTGTAAATAAATAACATCAAGTATACATTTGATTGAATACCAAACAATAGATTTGTTTGAATTGATAATATTCTTAAATTTTTCAATAATTTTATCATCTTCTGTTGGAATACTGAGACATAATGTATAAAAATATTGATTACCATCATTATTAATTTTATCTAAAATTTCTTTTATAAATAATTCAATATCCATATTATTAATAGAATCGATATGAAGATAATTCATTCGAGGACAAAATTTAATGAGAAAATTAATTTCTTCAATTTTATTAAATTTTTCAAGATAAATTTTTGTTATTTTGTTTTTATTTGATATAAAACAACGATTTATTTCTTCCATAGATGAATCACACGTTGATGATAATGATAAAGAATGAATTTTTAATGAATCAAGTTCAGATAATCTACATATTATATCCATTAATGTTGAAATATCAATTTGTTTTCTTTTAATTTCTAAATGATAAAATTGTGCTACTCTTAAGATACCATGTATGTCAATTGAACATTCATTCATAGAAGGATATCTAATAGTAAGTTGACTAGATTTTGAATAATCAATGGATGAATTTCTATCATACCATGTTTCTCTAAATGATAATAAATAAATTTATTTATTATAAAAGATTTTATATTACTTATATGGATAAATTTTAAAGATAAATGCAGATGTATCGATTTCACTTTTAAATACCCATCTTTTTTCAATCCAAAATGATGAAATAAATTGATTAAAATCTACTTTACGATATGCTGGAGATTGATGTCCATAATAAGGCACGTCTTCATATTGAAAATAGAATTTTTCTAATTGAGGAAAATATTTTAAAATTAATTCTTTCCATCGATTAGCATATAAATACGTCACATCGTTAGACTGAGTTTTATAACGCAAAACTTTTAATTTACAATTGAAGTTTTTAATGAACATTGTAAATTTATCAAATTTTATATAATGTACCTCTAAAGAAATATATGTTAAATTTGATAATTTTATTGGTAATATGTTTTCAATGATTGAATCATCATCATCATCATCATTATCATCATCATCATCATCATCATCATCATTATCATCATCATCATCATTATCATCATCATCATTATCATCATCATCATCATCATCATTATCATCATCATCATCATCATCATCATCATCATCATCATCATCATCAT